TTTATTTTTTGTTTGAATTATTATTTATTGTTGAAACTTAATGTACAAAAAAGTGATATACAGAGACCAGGTGTTCAGTAACACAAATAAATACATTAGGTAAAAATAATAAATCAATCTTATAAGAAGTTAAATATAAGGATGTCTGAACTCTTAATATGTTTAATGTATATTACTCAGATTTTGATTGTACTACTAAGTTCAGATTTCAGTTTAGAAAAGTTTTCAAACAATCATTTTATAAATTTAATAAGGAATTATTTTGGATAGTATCATTTATTGAGACACAAAACTATGATATTAAATCAAATTAGAAAACCTATAATTCACATTAAAATAATTAACTATTTTATTGTTACTAGGATAACTTTATATTCTATTCATTACATTTTTTAACAAAAAACTAATTGTATTTCATGCAATTCTTATGTTTTATTAAATTAATTATTATTTAATTGGTGGTATCTATATTTAATAGACATTTATTTTAATTTAAAACTATTATAATTACCCGTATTATAAGTTTATTGAAATAAAAATAAAAAACTTATAGAAAACATAATATTATATTGTATAATACATTATATATTTATTTTTTTTTTATTATATATTTTTTATTTGCCAATACAAAACACGGAGATAACAACATATTTTTCTTCAATACAAAAAAACTAGTATGCAAAATGTTGTATCAAATATTATTTTATATTCTTTATCCCTACAGTAAAAATATCTAATTGTAAGTCCTAATTTATTTATATAGTAAACTGAATAAAGACATTATACTAAAATGTGTATGTATTGTTTACTGACTAAACTGCACATTTATGTATTTGATCCATTATAATCATATTTAAATCTTAAATTAGTGTTGGATCGTACTATATATAATGGTTATTATAAAATATTATGTATTTAATTGGGTAACAATTGATCTATTTTTAATTGATCTCTTCTATTACTATTTAAATTCTTGCGTGTATAAAAAACTGAAGGACTGTTTTAACACCTATATCGAATGGCAACTGACGGTGTTTGCTTCTCCGTAGAATATCTTAAATACGTCTTTATTTTTAAAATATTAATTGTTCACACAATTTTTAGTTAATGGTGTATGAAACTGTAAACTACATCCTAGCATCTTTAAAACTCGTTATTTATTATTTATATTGATTTATTGTAATTGTCCATAATAGCAGGAGGGGGTGGAATTGTTCAAATAACAATTCATAGAGACGATCATATCTTAAAGATATTATTGAAAACGCAAAATAAGTTAAATATGCTCTAGAATTATATTCAATTGGAACTTTTGACGATTTAGTCATCGATAGAACTATAGAATTATGAAGATAAAACATTGACATTATAATTAATTTTACTCGCTATATAGAACTTAAATTGTTCTTTTTGAAGTTAAGTTATCATAATTGAGACTACATTTTAAACTAATATTTATTTTTGCACATAATTAAGTTAATCAATTAATATTAATTGCATTAGAATATCTTGATAATAAATCATTAATTTGTCGCCCTTGCTTCATTTTATAATACAACGTAAATCACTGCTTAATTTAATATTAGTGGAAATATGTCCATTCTTTTGTATATTCAATAAGTAAAGATTATATTTTTTTTATAACATGAGAATATATAATAATATATTGTTAAATAAATTACATCAAACAATTGTACAATATTTGAATGTTAAAAGATCAACAAATATTTAAATATTTGGTATTTATTATATTGATTTAGGTATTTTTTAATTTTGTCGATGTGTTTCAGCCAAGAAATTTACTGTAAATTACTTGAAAAAATAATTATACTGTACATGACAAAATAAAACGTTTTAGATATATATCATTATATTTTTATACTATAAGTACATATAAGACTTCAACACTTTTTTCACAATATTAGGTTATAAATAAATTGTTTATTAAAGTAACTAAACCCCACAAACCACGAAACTTCTCGTGTAATGATCGACTTTAATCCCACAACTTATTATAGGTCAGGTTATTAATATGTTGATATGTTGCTAACTTCATTAAAAGCCATGTGTCGCTACTTGCTGTACAATAAAAAACATACATTTTAAATGATGATGTCCAATTTTTTTTTCTTATATATACCAAATTAATTTAATAATTTATAGTTTAAAATATTATTTTTATATCAATACTTATTCAACGATTTTAAAAGAATATATTGAGAAGTAAACAATCATACTTCAGTAATTAATTATTTTTTAACTTTTTAAAATAATTGAAATTATCTATACTCTATAGTCTGTTAGTATTATAAATATAATATAATGTTTAAAAATATGTAAGACACTGCATATTTTAAGTACTATAAACCTTGAAAAATACATCTAAAATTAAAAAAATATAGTTTAAAATATACTTACCACACTAATAAAATAAATTAACTAAAATATGCTTTTAATATATTTTCTTTAATTGAGTAAAAATAAAAATTTAAAAACTGATAAAAATAAAATTTTGAACTTTGAAATAATTTGCATAATTTGAAATTCAAATGGTTAGAAAAAAAATTATATACCTATACGTATAGGTACTGTATATAATACAGTATTTTTTAATTGCTCTAAAAAAAAACTTATGAGAAACATTATACCTACACAATTTTCAAGTTTTTAAAAATAAAATTATTCACGAATAATGAATATTATATCATAAATTGAAAAATAATTTAAAAACAAGTTGAACATTTTATGTGTCTATAAATAGCCCCCAAAAAAAAAAACTAAATCATGACTATAAATTGCTTATATAAACTTTTGGTGGAAATAACAAGTACTTACGGTTATTTATGTTTAAATTACTACAAAAAATAACAAAATCTGGCATTGTGTAAATATTCCCAGTTTTCATTAATTTTTGTTTGGTTTTTTCCTGGATACTGTGCATTATTTTACCCCTCAAAGTAATAACCTGATCTAATTTCCTACTAAAAAACCACCCTCAAAGTTGAAAAGCTAAACATTTTACTACTCGAGTAAGGTAACATCAGACATAAAATAAAAAACACACACATATTCACACACATCCGCATAAAATATAAAATAATTCATAAAATATTAAAACATGAGGAAATATTATTAAAAAAAAAAAATGATTAAAAATGTAATAAAAAATAAACTTAAAAAACAACAGCATCAAAAATTTCAAAAGTATAAATTCTTAATATTCAGTCACTTAAGTAGTATAATATCGTAAATATTTAAGATTTTTAAATTATGTTTAAATTATTATTTTATGGAATAGGTACACAAACACAATTGAGCACGTATAAATGTATACCTATGCCTATGCGTAATCATTGAAATACTATTTTTTTTTCACTTAAGGATAATGTATATACAATTAAAATTAGAATCTCATTTAAATTTAACGTTTCTATTATTATTATTTTTTCTATTGTTTTAAAATCAAATAAACTAATCAAAATATAGTTAGTTTAAATAATGTCATCATATTAACTAGTTGATGCTATTAAACAATTTATACAATGGTCAAGTATGGGAAATTTACAAAAAAATATAAAATTACAATTAATATCAAATTTTCAGTAAATACCCTTAAGCCATATGACCATACTACCATAATAATTAATAACTTTTAACTATACACGAGTACGTTCTTCATTTCAGCTATCTGTTAGAATACAAATAAAAATATATAATACAGCGCACAGTGAACTTGTAAAAATAAAAATAAGGTTGTTCTAAATTGAAATGTTGTATTTTGTTCTTAGATAACATTAATTTTAAGGTAAATAAAAATATCAATATGCAGTTAAAATTTACACAATTATTTAATAAACTAATGAAAATTAATGCTTTTATTAAGCATTATAAAATTACTAGAAAAATGCCTTCTTATCGATGTCTTCTTTGTGTATGTAAAAACATAATTAATCAAATTGTTTTATCTTTCAATTTCTCTTAATTTAGTATTCTATAACCTACCTTCTTTTTTTTCTATTATGAATTCACTCAATAATTATTTATTTTTTTTTTTTTTTGTACTTTCCATAATTTAATTAGGTATAAAATACATTCCTCTCGCCTGCATTAACGTATTTGCTATTTTTTTTTTTCATTGTTAAATTTTTTGCAGTTTTCCCATAATGTATATTTACCTATATAAATGTATTTCAATCAAATGATGTATAATTAATAACCAATATGAATATTTACTTTTCTACTTAATGCGAAACCGTATCGTAATGTTTCGTATTAATTTTATTTTATGATTAAATATTTAGAAATTTAGAGTAGGTACTTACTATTAGCTGTATTTAATATAGACTGTCTATTTTACGTTACGTTTTCTCTGAAATATCACATAATTTATAATTCGCATGTGGAAAAAATTTTAATTATTTACAATCAACTGTTATTGATAGTTAATATTATAATGTAGAATGAATCTTTGTATAATATTTTGTTTACCGACTTTTAGAATTGCTCGTTCTACTTTAAAATCATCTTCTGAGCCTCGTATAATCACTAAATAATGTTATAAACGC